AGCCAGGACAAGGTCTCCCATACAAGGTGAGCAGTAAGACAGCCTTCATCTCTGTTACTAGTATGTCCAAATGACAAAAATAATTTTGAAAATATCATTTGTGAAAGCAGTTTTGCAAATACCACACCTACTTATAGGATGCATTTTATTCATTAAACAGCAGAAACTGGAACCCTATTCAATCATTGTGTGGGAATGTTGAAAGAACTGGCTGAAGAACTCTCAGAATTACTGTCCATGATTTTCTTGAAATCATGGGAAACGGGTGAGGTGCCAGAGGATTGGAGCAGAGCTAATGTCCCTATCTTCAAAAAGGGCAAAAGGGAGGAGCCTAGAAACTACAGACCAGTCAGGCTGACATCAATCCCAGGGAAAATTCTGGAACAGATTATAAAGTGGTTGTTACATACAGCTATGACATCACCTGCCCATCACTGCTGAAGCTGTGTGTCATCTGCCAATGGCGTGACGGAGGGTGGGACATAAGGGGTGGAGCTGTTGTATATAAGGGGAGTGAATGGTGTGAGAGATTCAGATAGGGCCAGATAGGGCTTTGAGATAGGGACGGTTAGGGCTTGGAGATACTGAGAGATAAGACCTGTGCTACATTGAGAGAGTCTGTGAGAGTGGGTGTGTGATAGTTATAATATTATAGTGATTAAAGTATTATTTATATTCAAGTGATTTACCATTCCTTTTGTTTGTATACAATAAGCCTAAATTTTTATTTTGAATTCATACTTTGGCCTGAAGATTCATTTGAGGGAATGGTTGGTGGCAGTGGGAACAAGAGTGATTGAGTGTGACGTAATGGCCCCTTTGTGAGGTATAAGGAGGCTGTTACAGTGGTCAATCTGCATTGTTCAAGGGGTTTATTTTATTTATTTACTTATTTACTTATTTACTTATTTACTTATTTACTTATTTATTTATTTATTTATTTATTTATTTATTTATTTATTTATTTATTTATTTATTTATTTATTTATTTATTTATTTAATATCCCACCTGTCTGGTCTTGTGACCACTCTAGGCGGCTTCCAAACAAATTAAAAAAAAACCACAACATATAAATATAACAAGATAAAGAAGAAATTTTAAATCAATAAACAGATTCTTCAAGATGGGAAAAATAACAGAAGATAAATGAAGAGGGGAAAATTAAGTATTAGCTGGAGGGAAGGCCTGCTTAAACATCCAAGTTTTTAATTGGTTCTCAAAAATACCCAGCGATGGAGCCGCACAAATCTCAGGAGGGAGGTTGTTCCAGAGGTGAGGAGCCACCGCCGAGAAGGCCCAGTTTCTTGTTTTTTCCTTCCGGGACTCCTGACTCGATCGAGTGATATGGGTAGATCTTGGTGGGAGTAGGCATTCCATCAAATATTGAGCGCCCCCATGTTAAGATGGGGTCATAGCTGGACTATCTGCCGGAGATGAAAGAAGGCGGTATGGACCACTGACACCATCTGAGTTTCAATGGTGAGCGCCGGGTCCAGATGGATCGCCAGGCTGCGAACCCCACTCTTAGTGGTAAGGGTCACCCCCCAAATGAGAGTTTCCTAAACCACCTACAGTAGGCGCGCCCACTCTCAGAACTTCCGTCTGGTCCAGGTTCAGCCTCAGTCCATTTTCCTGTATCCATTGCAGTACAGCCTCCAGGCAGTGCTGAAAGGACAGAACGGCATCTCCTGCAGTTGGTGAAAAAGAGATGTAGATGCCCCACACCCCCTGATGATCCCACCCAGCGGCCTCATGTAGATATTAAACAGCATTGGGGAGATAATCGACCCCTGTGGGACCCCACAGTTGAGATTCCACGGGGCCAAAACACTGTCCCCAAGCTGTACTCTTTGGGGGCGGTCCGTCAAGAAGGATCGGAGCCAGGCAAATGCCAGGCCACCAATTCCCAACTCAGAGAGCCTCCCCAGGAGGATACTGTGGTCGACGGTATCAAAGGCCGCCAAGATGTCGAGGAGGACCAACAGAGACATTTTACCTCTGTCGGCCTCCCTCAACAGGTCATTGTACAGGGTGACCAATGCCATTTCTGTACCGTGGCGCGGCCTGAAGCCCGACTGAAACGGATCCAAGGCATCTGTTTCATCCAAATGTGCCACCACCCTCTCGATCACTTTGCTGATGAAAGAAACGTTGGCAACGGGCCTGTAATTGCCAATTTCATCTGCCACCAAATTAGGTTTCTTCCTTATGGGCCTAATGAGTGTCTCCTTGAGGGCAGGAGGAACTCTGCCCTCAAGGAAAGACCCATCATTAATTGCTGTGGCCCATTCTGTTATTATAGGCCTGGCTGCTTTGATTAGCCAGGCCGGGCAAGGGTCAAGGGAGGAAATGGTGCCATGAGAGCGATCAAGCGCTTTGTCCACAGTATCCGGCGTCACAGGCTGAAAGAGATCGATAGTCACCGGGCAATACGGAGCGCTGGACATCTCAGCTCGACTCACTGTATTTAAAAAAGGAGAGAGGTCCCGGTGGATGGCCTCCACTTTAGATTTTAAAAATGCTGCAAATTGGTCCGGTGGAAAGCTAGGGGGAGGCCCATCACTCAGACCAATTCCGGATAGGTCGCACACTATATACTGTAGAATAATTCCGCCTGCTGATTTGAAGCTTTGCTTATCCGGTTAGCAAAGTATACATGACTGGCAGCCTTTACCTTAGCCAGGTAAAGGTTAGTTGCGACCCTGACAGCTATCCAATTGTAATCCCTCGGGTTCTTCCTCCACTTGCACTCTAGCCTTCTCCTAAGCTGCTTCATCGCTGGAAGGTCCTGGTTAAGCCAGGGCACTGGCCGAGCTCTGCATTGGAGAGGGCGTTTAGGCGCAATCGTGTCTATAGCCCTGGTGGCAGCGTTCAACCAGCCAACAACCAGAGCCTCAACAGGAGCTCCAGCCAGGCAGCCGCAATATCTTTCATGGTGTTCTGGAATCCTGCCGGATCCAGTAGCCTTCGAGGGTGGACTATAGAAATAGGTCCCTGCTCCCTGCGAGGGGGGAGAGCCACTGAGATGTTACATTTTATTAGGTGGTGATCTGATCATGACAAGGGGACCAACACAAGGTCAGTCACCATCAGACCACACTCACTCCAATTGGTGGAAAAAACAGATCTAGTGTATGACCACCCATGTGTGTGGGGCCGTTGACATGTTGGGACATGTTCAAGGAAGCCATGGTTTCCAAGAACTCAAGAGCTGGCCCAGAGATCTCTGCCTCTGCGTGAATGTTGAAATCACCCAGAACGAGCAGCTCTAGGGATCTCAACAGTGCCGTGGAGACAAAGTCCACCAGCTCCGGTAGGGAAATGGCATGTGGCGGGGAGCACGGTAACCCAGCAAGATCCCAATACCTTCCCTGGCCCCTATCGACACGTGGAGGGCTTCTAGACCCGGTTTTACCACCGAGGAGCGCCTAGTAACATCCAAGATGTTTTTGTATATAATGGCTACTCCCCCCCATCCCTCCAGTCTACCCTGGTGCTGGACAGCATAAATGGGCAGACAGGCAAGTGCTAGGGGAGGGGCCCCCTCTCCGCCTATCCACGTTTCGGTTATGCATGCCAGGTCTGCATCCTCCTCCAGAATATGATCGCAAATCAGTGGGGACTTAATGGATACAGACTTGGCATTCAACAAGACCAGTTTTAGAGTGGAGGGCTGGCTGGTCTGGCTACCTCGATACTGATGGTTGACCACAATCCCAGAATGGTGGACAGCCTTCAAACATCTATTCACCGTTCTTCTAACATGAGTAGGGGCTATGTCAACGCCATATCTCCCTCTACCCGTAATCACTGAGATGTTTTGAGGCCCCTCACTGGGGGAGCAGGCCTTCCATTCCATGTCAAAGAAAAAGAAAAAAAGAGAAAAGAGATAGAGAGAAAAAAGAGAACACACTAAATTAATACAAGCAGATTAAATAACAGATTAAACATATAAACCAAATACAGTGCAATCAACTAAAAATTCCAGTTATAAAGTAAATTACATATAATAAAGAAAAAAGAAAACATTGTTTAAAAGAAATGGCCACAATGTTTATCCCCCACATATAACCTTGATCTGTCCTCCTCTAAGATGTAATATTGTCCTTTTAAATGTTATTGTCCTTTTAGATGTTATTGTCCTTTTAGATGTTACTGAGCTTGATGTTGTTAAGCATAATGTTGTTAATGTTAGTATTAGTGGCGCTGGAGTGTGAGTCTTACAATCAGGGCAGGTCCCAAAGATCTCAATGTGGACGCAAGAAATAGCAAGAGATAGCAGGAGCAGCAGAGTCCAAGCTGGAGGTGATACTCTCGCTGCCATTTCCCTCCCTTGCGGAGCAGTTGAGGAGCCATTGATGATTTTCCTAAGGGTGCAAACGGGGGGCGTATGTCCTGGGAAAGATATTACCAGCTGGGCACCCAACATGGCAATCTCCAGGACAAGCCAGCTAAGGTCAACGACAGGTAGATCTCTCTCCCCCACTGGTTTTACTAGCCCCTAGTATGCTTATGTGGGGATTCAAACATAGGTCTCCTGGGTTCTACTCTGTCACTATACCATGTTGCATACTTTCATTCATTTATTACCCACCCATTTCCATAGAAGGGAGGAACTAGCCCCTTCATCTCCATCATCACTTTCACCACTTGGAGAGTGACATGAATAAAGTGCAAAATCCTACTTGCATGACGATCAAACACACACACATATTGCCCTTTTTTGCCTCACAAAGAGAATATGTCCCTGTGGATCAGCAAGAAAAGTATGTGTGGAACCTAGAGGTGAGCAGATGTTTCTCATGTTTAGAGATGCCACTGTCCAGGAATTAAAGATGGATGACTCAATATTGATTAATTTGCCAAATGTTTATTGGAACAGCATAGTATCCATTTGTTCACTGAAGAACAACAGCATCTCTTAAGAATCTAAGTAGTGACAGATTGGCACCAGAATTCTCCTTTCCATCTATTTGCTATCTTCTGTTTCCGTGGCATCCAAAGGACAACAGAACAGCTGATCCAGATGGCACAGTTAGTCCTGAAATTCCGTCTTCTTAAACTGTAACATGCAATGTATATAGTGTAAGGTAAAGGTAAAGGTTCCCCTTGATAATTTTTGTCCAGCCGTGTTTGATTCTAGGGGGCAGTGCTCAACCCCATTTCCAAGCCATAGAGCTAACGTTTGTCCGAAGACAATCTTCCGTGGTCACATGGCCAGTGTGACTTAGACGCGGAACGCTGTTACCTTCCCACCAAGGTGGTCCCTATTTATCTACTCGCACTTGCATGCTTTCGAACCGCTAAGTTGGCGGGAGCTGGGACAAGTGACGGGTGCTCCCTCCGTCGCGTGGATTCGATCTTATAGCTGAAGATCTACAGACCTTACAGCACAGAGGCTTCTGCGGGTTAACCCGCAGCACCACCACGTCCCTGTATATAGTGTAGAGAGCAGTAACTGATTCTGGTAATGGAATGCTCTCTGGGGTTGTGTACTTACCTCTTCTACAGTCCACCAATGTTTTAATTTTAACTGTTTCTGTGAATTAAATTACTGAATTTAATCCTGCAAAGATCAGCCTATCACGGTGCCTTAGTATTCTACCAATTCCCAGTTACTGACGATTTTGGGCTGCAAAACAGAGCTGGTTTTCAAGCCTGCCACAAACCTTGTTGTCCACACATTCATGTCCAGGGGTGACTTAGAACCCCCTAAATTTAATCCTGAGCTGGCTATAATGCGACGGCTTTCCATTTGGACAGCACCTTGCATCCAAAAGGACATTTCATATTTCTAATTTGAAATGCAACTATTGTATGCAGGTGAGCAGCCGATTTAGATGAATGGGGTGTGAGTATATTCTCACAAAGGTGTGCTGTAGAAGATTGCTTTGAGATACTCTGATAAAATAAGTGATTTTTAAATTTATTTCCCACATGTTGAAGCATCTTCATTTCCTTTCAGATGAAGTTAACTGTCATGTTAAGCAGCAGTATGACAAAATCCAGTGAGTTTCGTGTATAGGAATCTACATCCGCTTCCTTCCAGCAGAATGACAGTCAAGAAAATTTAGACTAGCCGAATAAGTCCTCCAAAGATCCATGACCTTTTGAGCATGTGCTAGGTCTAGAAGTATCGAGAATTAGTTCATTCAAATGATTAACAAGTAGGTCCCTCAAATCCTTCATTTTGTTTTGTTTTATTTAGTTTTAGTTAGGTGAGATCCCACCCCGAAATCAAATTCCTCTTTGTCAGCTTCATCTTGCTATTCTAGCACTTCTCCACATTAAACCAATTTGGTAGAAGAAGCTGTGCTATTAGTCAAGAACAGACGCGAGATGGCCTCCCCACGTGAGTAAAGTTTCATAGTCAAATGAAATCATTTTAGTTTATTTGCAGCCCAGAATGACTGTTCCCCAAATCACATAGACTGGATCATCAGTATTGGGGAAAAAAACTGATTTCTGTTTGTGAGGTGGCTTAAGTCCTAGCACCCCACCTTCATCAATTCTCAGAGCTAATTGGCTAACCATGAAAGTGTTGTATGTGTGCTGTGCTCATGAACATCAAAAAGGCAACAGGGAGGGGAGGGATTTGGACAGAGCCAGTAGGCAGCTTTGTTTGGACTCACTGTGGCACTTGGAGCAAAGGCAAGGAAGGGAGCACTGCTGTCACAATTAGAGGTGGGGACGAACTGCCAAAATGACAGTTTGTTCTGGTTCGTGGTCCATCAAATTTGATGAACCATGAACCACGAATTTCATCCCTGTGAACCAACAAAATATGAATCAGCTTGTTGGTTCATCAGTTTTTTTAAGGCAACTTCAGGCTGTCTAAAAAAAGAGCTGAGCCCCCCACCCCCACAGCCTGCCACACTGCCCCCTTAACACAGCCCTCATTGCCTCCCTACCTTGGCTGATGCCATCCTTGCCTGCAGTCTGTGCCACTGTTCCACATGGTGATGGCCTGCACCATTGTGGCCTCTGCTACTGCCATCCATTGCCACCTGTTGTAGTGGCCTCTGCTGCCATGGCCTGCCTTAAGGGAATCCTAGCTGCCCTAAAGATGGCGGCCACCATCTTTGCAAAGGGCAGTCAGTGTCTGTTTTGGCAGCCTGCGAGGGCAGAGGCTGCTGCAGTGGACATCAATGGATGGTGTCAGTGCTGGGCGGCAGTGGATGGTTGCATTGCTGTGCAGAGGCAGTGGTAGGGAGGGGAAGAGGGTGGGGTACAGGCTGTGGGGGATGTGGCTGTGGCACTGGCTGGCTGCCTATGGGCCCACCTATCAGCTGTTTGGTTGGGCCCAGAGGCAGAGTGGGAAGGCCATAGGCTTCCTGCACGGGACAAATAAAAATGGAGCAATATTCATCCCTTCATATTGCTTGGGGTCTCTGGAACTGATGAATATGGAGAGATGAATATGAAACAAATCAACATTTTTAAATGACTATCGCTATTTGTTGTTTTTTTAAAAAATGCATCCCCATATCTAGTCACAATCCATGTACTGTCTTATTTCACAAGGCCAGGCAGCAATGGCACAAACAAAAACTCCCTGTAGGAGGGGAGATGGGAGCCTTCCAAATATTCCAGCAGCCAAGAAAACTCCACTTATGGCATGTATATTGAAGGCGGCATGGGATGCAAATTCTAGCAAGCATAGCACCGACCGCTATAGCTGTTGCATTGATTTTGCCATTCGGTTGGCCACTGGAAAAAAAATCCCTGCCTTTTATTTTACCTCTTTTTGTTTGTTTCATTTCTGATCCGCTTTACTCCTGGCGAAGGAACCAAGGTTTAAAATAAGTGATTAAAATAAGTAATGCTAAAACCACATTATTAAGTTATAAACAATCTAAAACCATCATCATGATTATATAAACATTTAAAAGTGTTAAAAAGACAAATAGAAAATTACATGTCCAGCATGCAAAATATATTCAGCTATTAACAGCTGCCTAGAGACGCAGGTCTTCAGCTGTTTCTGAAAGGGTGAAAGTGAGGGGCCCATATAACTTAGTTAGGGAAAGGATTCCAGAGCCTGGGAACAGCCACAGAGAAGGCCCTCTCTTGTGTCCCCATTTCATATCCTTTTAGTCACTCCTGCTAATAGAAATGAAACAAATAAATAATAAAATCTTGGTTGCAAGGTTTCAAATTCCACAAAGCTATTCTCCAGAAGAAGAGAGCAAGTTTGACAAAACTGAAACTGGGCTGCCCTATTGGTAAAAAGATGTTTTTTTAAAAAAAATGCATTTTGACTTTTTTCTCAAGGCATTTTCTCCAAATGATGCTAAGAATATCTTGTATTCTGATATGCATCATTTCTTAATGTTGCCAATGTGATACATAATGAGGGACATTTAAATAACAAATGTATGTTTAAATTTAACTCACATTAAGGAGGTGATGAACTATTGTTGCTAAAAATAATCTTAGAGTCTGTTCATAAAGGGAAAGTGGCAGATACAGAACAGAAAGGAAATGAAAACATATAAATCAGGGGTCTCAAATTCAATTTATCTGGGGGCTGCTGGAGGCAGAGTCTGGGTGAGGCTGGGCCACATCAGATTTTCCGCCAAGCAGAGCAAGAGCCTGAGGAAGCAGCCCAGGAGTTTCCTTAGCCTGGCTGGGGCTCCGAGGAGGAGGAGGAGGGGCGCACAAGCCCTCATCACTGGCCACGACCCCCTCCAGCTCCTTCTTCACTACCACCAGCAGCAGCAGGATGAAGAAGCAGAGAAGGGAGGGAGCGCTGGCGACCGCCTAGCCGGGGGGAGGGCACAACATATAATTGAAAAAAAAACCCTCACAAAATCGCCTTGCCAAAGGAGAAAAGCCCCCACCGGCACCCGCAAAATTAAACAGAACGGGGGGCCCCCAGAGGCGCTTGCAGGCACGCACACATGCACAACAAACAAACAAACACACACACACGGAGGTCCAGCAACCTTCCTCTGAGGGCCTCCCTCAAAAAAAAGTCACACTCAGCAGCTGCAACTACCCCCACCACGACAGGGGAGCAAACTTTGCTAGGCGAGCCCAGGCAGCCTCCAGAGCCGAGGCAGCTGAAGCAGGACGAAGAGGAGGAGAAGGAGGCGGAAGTACTGCCGGGTGCTGAGGCGGCCACTGGCTGGGCTGGTGCTGGGGGGGCCGAGAGAGAAAGAGAGCCAGAGAGCCGCTTCCCTGGAAGAGACGGCGGTGGCCGCTGTCTTGGGAGAGAGCCGGCAAGCAAGGTGAGGCTTTTTTAAAAATCTTGACAGCAGAGGATGTGTGGGCGCTTCGGGGGGGCAGGCAAGGCGGGGGCTGCAAACTATCATCTGGTGGGCCGCAAACCCGGGCCGGGCCACATGTTTGAGATCCCTGATATAAATAAACAATGAAGAAACAAACAAACAAGGATAAGTCCATTAAGCCTTTAGGAAAAGAGTCCCCAAAGGTTCACAGATAAGACTAAAGTATTAAAAATGCTGCAAAATGGACAAGTTCTGCAAGGCAGATGGTATGAGGAGAAGAAATTAAAAAATTATGCTAGCTAGATGCGGGCCACATGTTTGAGATCCCTGATATAAATAAACAATGAAGAAACAAACAAACAAGGATAAGTCCATTAAGCCTTTAGGAAAAGAGTCCCCAAAGGTTCACAGATAAGACTAAAGTATTAAAAATGCTGCAAAATGGACAAGTTCTGCAAGGCAGATGGTATGAGGAGAAGAAATTAAAAAATTATGCTAGCTAGATGCTGTGAGCATGAGGTCTGCAGTTTAGACTTGGTCTCATGGCTGAATGAATGACACAGGTGTTTGTAGGATGAGATTATACCTATCAATGCATTCTGTGATGAAGAAATATTGCTAGCTCTATTTGTGAAAAACCACAGCAGAACACTTTGAGACAAGAGTTGAATGACACAGTCTTGGAAGGTCTGTGTAAATTCTGGTATATATATCTCCTGCCCCCTCCCTTTCTCCAGAAGGTAATGAGAATTCAGCCACAGAATGGACATTCTACCCAAGTTCTGGTAACCGCACTTATCATACAGGCAAGAAGTGTATATTTGATGGTGTCCATCTCCGAAACAAAACTACATCATCTGAACGGACAGTGGAAATGTATATAGGAAAAAAGAAATGCGGTAAAGCTCCAGAATAATTTTTTTTGTTTTTAATCCTACTGTGCAAATGGGACCAATTATACTTCAGACCTTAAATTCTCATACAGTATATTCACATGCAGATTTTTCAGTGTGGTCCCACCAGTTCAGTTATATCTATATATAGTTAATATACTATATAATTAATATTTTTCCTGGCTTAATTGCTTCTTCACCTGCCCCCAGAGCTCTGAAATTATGACTGAACTCTACTCAGTTTTAGTTTCCCCACTTTTTTATTGATGTTATTTATTTATTTATTGCATTTATACCCCGCCTATAAATACCACTCTAGGCAGCTTCCAACTACCACCCTAGGCGGCTTCCAACATATATAACAACATATAAAAATATAACAAAATTTTTAAACATCAATAGACAAGTTATTCAAGATGGGAGAAGAGAAAAAAGACAAAAAGAAGAAAAAGAAAAAAAGAAATCAAGTATTAACTGGTGGGAAGGCCTGCGTAAACATCCAAGTTTTCAATTGGTTTTTAAAGAAAAAATTTATTTTTTTGGCTTATTGCTGTTGTGGCCATAAAACTATTATCATTACATGGTTGTTGTAGGTTTTTCTGGATGTTTGGCCATGTTCTGGAGGTTTTTTTTTCTAATGTTTCACCAGTCTTTGTGGCCGGCATCTTCAGAGGACAGGAATCTGTATTCTGGTGTAGCATGTGTGACAAACACGGCGCTCGAAAGCATGTGTGAATGCTCGGACAGAGAGTAATTTGGAGATTGTACATGCTAACACGTGCTGAGTGAGTCCTAGAACTCAGCTAGCCGTGAACAACTCCCCATCTTAAAAGTCTGCCCTAAC